TTTTTCCTTTGTAGTGAAAAATATTTAATTTTGGAGCTAAAAGATTTTTCAAATAAATTTATACTTCTCGCTACTAAAAGTTTCTGATGGAGGGGCCCTTCAAAAATAGTGTTTCACGATGGAAAAGGCCGTGAAGCTGAGCTCCTTTTTCAAAGATCAAATCTGATTACCCTTCATTTTCTTTTCCCACGCCTCTGTACCTACATTTAAAGTTAAACAAAATGGATGACTGGGAGGTATAAAAATTTTAGGGGGAGAGAAGGAAAGGGGGTCGTTTCAGAATGTGGGAGGACGGGGGGGAGGCTTTGATGGTGGGGGCTTGAACATTCAACAGGCTTGTGTGAGCTCTTAGTTTTAAGGGGAGGCAAGTGTTTTTTGTACTTGTGCTTTTAAATGTTATTCTGGTGACATTCTAACGAATTATGGGGAAAACATTTGCCGGGCCCTTTAGTCCTAGAGGCAAAAGTAAAGGGTTTGATCGTAAAAATGGGGGGGATGTTGCAAAATTTAACGCCGTCTGACCCTTAATCTGCTTCACCTTTACAAGACAGCGATTGAATGAATGAAATGTGAATGTTTACTCTTTTTTTTTTTGGGGGTCACCCCGCCTCTGTCGGGGACAAGCCTTGCTTAGGGGCATAAAAATAATAATAAAATAATAATAATAAAAATAAAAAAATAATAATAATAAAATAATAAAAATAATAATAATAATAATAATAAATATAAGAGCAAGAGCTTAACAGCTTATGTATTTCTCTCGCCCACTAATGAAAACTGAAAATTTTACATCACTATTTACAAATATCTTTTGAGAGGGAATATTAGTTGAACAACCATCTAACACACAAACTTTTCTTATGGGTCGAGGGAAAGGGGTAAGATAGACCCCGGGTTTTTAAAAACCCAAAATAAACTCTGTATTTTTTTTTGCTGGTCACACTATAGGATATTTTGGGCATACCTTGTTCTGTTTTGAATCAAATTAAAAAAACGCCAGTAAGTAGGTGTGAAACACAAACTTTAAAATGGCCAAATGGACCCGTGACAACACTAAATATGTGAATCCCAATGAGGCTTCTTAAGATGTCATTACGTACTATCATTTAAAAGTATTTATTTTAAATTTATTCAAGCACAGTAGCGCAGACATGCTGTATAAAAAAGAGAATAATTTGCAGCTCATTCTCTGGGTTCATTAGTATAATAAGGACCATGAATCGAATTATTATTATTATTTTCAAGGGGAAGCGTTCAACGTGTAATGAGGTTTGATCCAAGGTATCAAGGTTTGATCCACTGGTATCAGGCACCCCTCGTAGCCTCATCTCTGGATACATCAGTGGTAAGCATTTCCCATGACGGTATATGGTGGCTATTCCTTTCGTCTATAGCATGCTGCCCTGTGGGATCATTCGTTGAGTTATTGCGTTATAAATAGCAAATGATTATTAACATTCTCTTGATACGAGTCAAGTATATTTATACAGTTACATATTTCTTTCTATTAGTGCTAAGTAGACATAATTTCATTATTGTTATTAGAATATTTTATCATTGTTAATAAATTATATACCATTCTTATATTTGTATCAGTAATGAGAGGATCTGATACAATTAGCTAGGCTGCCGAGTTTCTGTGACCCGGGTTGTTTATATTTTATAATCATACAAATATTCATATGTAGGGGTTATATAATGATATTGCTATTGGCTAGGTTATTCCATGGAGATCAGAGAAGGTTGCTAGCGTATATTGGTGGCTGTAGAGTGTCTTTTCTGATGTGAATTTTGCGTTTTAAATGACGGATAAGTTTTGTCGGGGAACGAGTATCATTGATTTTCTTTGCTGATTATTGAAAATAATAGCTATTTTGAAAGACTAATCATATACTAGTAGAATTCTCTGATGCTCATAGTATGGTTTTCAATAAAATTTAGATTGTTATTAAGTAGGGTTAGCGGTATAATTAGGATTTTTGTTGAGGGTATAAACTTCTTTGGGGCAAAAACATATTTTATGATTTTTTACAAGTTTAATTTACATTCATATATACTAAAGACTCTAAAAATATTCTTGTTATTTTATCAATAGTTAGGGATTTAGTAATTAGATGGGATACTTTTATTTAAAAAAAATGTGTAGGGTAGAGTATTTGGGAAGATGTTATCAGAGTAACAGACGACTGTTTTGAGCAGTGTGATTTCCGGCATTCTCAGGGGTGGGTGTTGCTTACTACGTCCAGTTTGAACATTTTTTGTTTTGTTTTGCTATAAGTAACAGAATAAGTGTGGGCATTGAAGATGTGTGAAGGGCAGGTAAACATGCAAAGAAAAGGAATCTGCAGGCTGTGAGGTGAGTATGCTATGATTGTAGTGGTGGAAGGCAAGGGTAGTTTATAAATTGATCTTAAGTGTATAGAATGCAAGTGGATTATAGTTATACTTTTAGAAAAGTTAACTTATTATCCCTAATAATTATTATAATGTTGATTTTTTTTTGAGGAGATTACAGTTGAATAAATTTTGACTAGGTTTTCATTTCTCCTGGTGTGGTTATTTATTATTATTAACGAAATTTCAGATAAGCATTATTCGTGACTTTACATTTATGGATATCACATATGTATATAGAGAGGTACCACTAGTGCTAATTGGGGACCCCTCAGCCTCGGAGAAAGAATGTATGTACTGCAGGCGTTGTTTTCTACAATGGATTCTGTAGTGCCAGTTAGTGTGCTCTTTTGTGAATTTTATCTGAACTCATTTTATGAAATTCATCGACACCATGCCTAACCCTTCTAGGGTAGGGTAGGTGCCTGAGCCCGAACCTTTAGCTCATAAGACTGTCATTCCCATTTGCCCCCTTGGGGCGGGGATGGCAGATCAGAGAGGCCTAGCTTGTGGCTAGGCCTAGGGACAGTTGGTCCCAAAGATGAGGAGATACTTATGCCTCCTCCCATGGGAGACTTAGGTCTCAGACACTCCCTAAAGAGGGAGCCAAGGCCGGGCCACCACTTGGAAAAGGCCCGGGCCGGGAGAATACCGGCTAATCTTTAATAATAATAATAATTATGAAATTAAATTTATAACTTTTTTTTAACAGGGGAGT